ATACCCCGCCATTCCCATCTGGAGTCTCCAATCTACAAGATCAGTGCCAAACAGGAAATTGCAGGCAGTAATTTATTCTGAATTCTCCCACCGTGGAACTTATTTAATATACATTGCTATGCGAACTCTAATAAAACATTAAATAGACAAAGAAGGTTTCTGCCATCTTCCCCAACTCCCTGACATATGCACCCCTTTCTGCCAGAACCCCCTGGAGAGAGGGCCTTTCTGAGACTGCAGCTCTGATCAAAAATAACTGGAGAGAGGCGGGTGGGGGATCGGTTGCGAAAACAAACAACCAAGCCATAAAATAAAATGACATAGGAATAAAATAAAACATTGTGGGGGAGATAAATATATATATACATGAAATGGCCAAACTGGATTTATCTCAGAGAACTGTCTAATCAATACCCACCCTTGGTAGATATATAGGAAGGAAGAGGTAGATCAATTGGACTATCTGCCTGGCCAGCCCTGGTCAGTTGACATAGTATTAATGTATTAGTCTGGCTTCTCCCAAGAAGTAAAACCGATAGGAATGAAAGACAGAAACTGAGATAGAAAAAGAGATTTTCTATGAGGAATGAGCTCACATAACTATGGAGGCTGAGAAGTCCAAGATCTGTGGTCAGCAAGCTGGTGACTCAGGAGACCCAAAGGGTAAGCTCAGGTTCAAGGCCAAGTCCAAAGGCTCAAACTAATGCATCAGCTCAAAGCCAGACCGAGAAAAAGGATTCTTTCCTATTCAGCCTTTGGTTTTGCTCAAGCCACAGATGAGGCCCATCCATATTGATAAAGGTGATCTCCTTTCTCACTCTACCAATTCAAATGTTGCTCTCATCTAAAAACATCTTTAAAAATCCACTCAGAAGGGAACTTTAATCAAATATCTGGGCACTTCATGACTAAGGCAAGTTGTCATATAAAATTAGCCATCAGGAGCCACCCTGAAAAACTGTAAGACAAACTGAAGTCTGGAAATTGACTACTGCTGCTGCTGGTGCCTGGTCTGTTGTACTGAGTTCTGGAAGCCCAGGTTGAGCTGAGACTGTTTGTAGGGACCATTATGACCTTACATAAGAAAGAAACAAATGTCCGTCTTTTTCTATGACAGCCATCTCTGCAGTAGCATATAGAACCAGAAATATCTAGAAACCCAGAAACACAGCAATGAAAACACAGTGGTATGAAGGCTGAATGCTGATATCAAGATGCCTAATAACTCTGGGCAAGAAGTGTGTACACTCTGGACAAGAAAATGACCAGCGTGTCCAAGATGAGGGCCAGCATGGGAAGCAGAAAAGGTTCCACAGAACATGCAAAGTCAGGACAAGGGATGTAATTGGTATTTAAGTAGCTTCTGTCTAAGAAGGTCAATGTCACCCTAGGGAGCCAGGGTTGGCCTGGCCACAGGTATACAGCCCGCTCTGAAATGGTACCTCATACTGTATGTGGCTGATCTAAGTACAATTACAACTAGCTAAGTGTTGAATAAACAAAATACCAGAAGTTCACCTCTTAGCTAGCCATTTGGCTGTATTTACAAATTGCTAAATAAAGGGCACATTTAGTGCCTCTAAGGAAGACTAACTAAATTAAGAGGGCGTATTCAACGTGTGCAATGCCAGCTGTAATATTTTTCAGGGACAGGATCAACAACCAGGTCTTCCATCTCAAGAGGAAAGAGAACCTCTCTCTGCTGTGGTGGACAGTCTATCCTTACACATTAGTGAGAAGCAGAAGTCTCATGTGTCTTGACTCCTAGTCCAGTGCTCTTTCGGCTGTGCTATGAAGAAGCAAAACTCAGAGCTTTGAAAGGTATGGTGGTGCATGACTGTAATGCCAGAACTGTGGAAGGCTGAGACAGGCGGACTCCAAATTCAAGCTCAACCTGGAAAACTAAGCAAGACCATGTCTCAAAATTTTAAAAAGCATGGAACACAGCTCAGTGCAAATACCCTGGGTTCAATCCTCAGCACCAAAAGCAAATGAAAATCTTGGAGCCTTACTCAGACACAAACTGTCTATCAGGTAAAAATGGTACATCAAACACCAGTAACTCCATCTCCACTCTTGGCTCCTCACTCCTCCCTATTCCTCCTACTCTAGGCATCACCCAGTCCCACATGCACATGCACACGAGCCCAACCACTGCTGGGCATCAACATGCAGCTCTTGTGGCCTGTGACCTTTCTTATCATTAACCTGCTTCCTTTTCATCTTCCGCACTGCCACCCACCTGTCTTCACCCGGTTTCCCAGGCTCCAGCCCTGAAGGCTGCCTGCAAAAAGACTCTGGCACCAAAGCCTCACCTCTGCCTTGTGAACCGTGACAGAGCTCATCTTGCATACCCTAGGACATCAGGTAGCCCCTTCCAGCTCCAACTCAAACCCTGGGCTCCTGGCCAATGCCCATGCAAGCTCAGCTGCCCCAGGCAGGGTGAAAGCACACACTGGGACATTCCTTCCATTCCAACTCTGCACTGGGACTCTAGAAGCAATATAAATAGGCATGTCTGCAAAGAAGATTTACATATGGTCAGCCAATAAGCACATGAATAGATGCTCAATGTCATTAGTCACAAGGGAAATCCAAATCAAAGCCATAAAAGTATACCATCCACACCCATTAACGTATCTCCTATCAAAAAAAGAGAAGAAAAATAGTAAACACTGTCAAGGATATGGAGAAATTGGAGCCCTCATCCTTTGCAAAACCACTACAGAAACAGTTTGGCAGCTCCTCAAAAAGTTAAACAGGATTTTCCTATGACCCAACAATTCCACTCCTAAATGCACAGCCAAAGGAATGCAAGGCAAGAACTCAAATACATACCCGTGCAGATACTATTTATGGCAACAGTATTCACAACAGCTGAACTGGGAACAACATAAGTCTCTTTCGTTGATTTTAAATGTGATGAATACATACAACAAAATACCAGTCAGCCCTAAAAGAAAGTTAAATTCTGACACATGCTACAGCATGGGTAAACCTTCAAAACAGTCAAGCTATGCATAAAATCACAGATATTGTGTGTAATTCTATTTGCCTGAGGTATCTAGAATAGACAGCTCATAGAGGCTGACAGTAAGCAATCTGGGAGGCTGACTCCAGAAGATTGCAAGTTCAAGCCCAGGATGGGCAACTTAGCAACTTGACAAAACACAGCCTTAAAATAAAGGATTAAAAAATGAGCTAGGGTTATAACTCAACATGAAGTCCCTGGGTTCAGTCTTTCTCTAAGTGAAAGAAGAAAGAAACAGCAAGACAGCAAGAAAGAAAAGAAACACAGGAAGAAGAGAAAATAAGGAAAGAAGGAGAAAGAAAAGAAAAGAGAGAGAGAGAGAAAGAGAACAAATCATGCCTTCTCATGAGCCAGTGGCAGCCTTGGGAACAGGAAGGGAATCAAGAAGCCAAACTTCTTGAACTTCAAGAAGCCTTCCTGTGAGCCAGCAGCAGCCAAGGGAAGGGGAAAAGAGTCAAGAAGCCAAACCATGCTTTCCCATGAGCCAGCTGGCACACAGACTAGGAGACAAAAGAACAACATCCACCCCTCAAGTAAGTGGCTGATTTGGAGGACCTCACGCTGACATGATAGCAACTGAAGCAAAAATAGTAATAATAGTGATAATAATAATAATAATTACAATGCTTGTGTTGTTTGGTTGACTTTGTAGGCCTACAGCTGGTAGTCTAAGCATCTTTTTGGAGGATAACAGCATGCATTATAGTAACTGTGGGGAATTTCCTTCTGTCTTGTTTTGAAATTCAATGTTGTGTTCCATTGTATTGTTTTGTTTTATTCCTGGGTCTGGTAACCTGAGCAACTATTTTGAAGATAACAATGTGCAATGTGACAACAATTGTGTTATATTACCGTGAGTATTACTATTGTTATTTGTTGCTGCTGTCATTGTTTTGCTTTGGTGGTTGTATTTTTTATTTGTTTGCTTATTGATTTTTCTGTGGGATTTTTTCTTTTTAAAATTAAAAATGTACAGATGTTGGACTTAGGGTGCTGGGAAACAAAGCAATCCACTTGCCTCCCTGGTAAGCAACCATGAGCCTACTGGCACTCCAGCTGAGAATCAAACATACCATCTTCCCCTCCCACCCACCCCACCACCACCCCGTTAGCAAATGGGAGCCAGAGGTCTGAGCATCTCTTGGGAGGTTTACCATTTGCAATATAGCAAATATGGGGGATTTCCTTCTACCACCTCTTTGAAGGCAAATATTGTTATCACTGTTTTGTTTTGTTCTGATTAACTGTCTTTCTCTATTCAATATTCTGTTTTGAGGTAAGTTCTATAATGTTCTGTATTTGGTTTGATTTTGCTATACCTGATTGAAAGGACAACTATTCTGAAGACAATGAGATATGCTATGGTACCTATTACTGTTATCCCGGTAAACTGCTGGGATATGCTGTACCGATTTCACTGCATTGTTGTGATTGGCTTTGTTCTGTCTTGTTCTGTTGTATTTTACTACCTTCAAAATAATAAAAAAGGGGCTGGGGATTTAGCTCAGTGGCATAAGCGCCTGCCTTGCAAGCAGGCAGTCATGGGTTCAATCCCCAGTACCAATAAAAAGGAAAAAGACCAAAAAAAAATAATAATAAAAATTTTTTAAAAATTAAAAATATACAGAGAAACACAGAAAGAAAGAAAGAAAGAAAGAAAGAAAGAAAGAAAGAAAGAAAGAAAGAAGAAAGAAAGAAAGAAAGAAAGAAAGAAAGAAAGAAAGAAAGAAAAAGAAAGAAACTGGAAACGAGGGAGGGAAGACAGGAGATGGGAATCTATTATGTCTATTATTATGCTTGGAATGTGGAAAAGTTCTGAAAATAGGCAGTCGTGCTCATTATCCAACATTGTTAATGTGCATAATCCGACTGATTTGCATACAATAAATTGTTAAAATGATAAATTTATGCTATATATATTTTAACACAATAAAAAAGGAAATTAAAAATACTGATCAATGTGCCTTACTGTTTTAGTGGCACAAAGGAGAAGCCATGGTTGAGTTCCTCTCAGTTCCATTAAAGGTTTTGAGCAGGACAGGCATCGGAGGCTGATCTTGCTCCTGGACCTACAACCCAAGCACACATGGGAGTAAGTGTGAGGCCTCAGGAATTCTCAGGACAAGACAAAGAATCCAAGGGATCATGGCAGGCTGTTGATCTCCACAAGTGGTTTCCAGGCCCACAAGCAGGAAGTCAAGTGGCTTTGGGGATGGGATGGCAGTGAGAGAGGCAACAGACTGCCAACATCATTATGGCCTAAAGCTTCCTTTCTCAGCAACAAACAAAGGATCCCAAGTTAACCAACTGCCAGTGCACCACATAAAATCTAGAGGAGGACAGAACTTGTATGTGCTTGGCCAGGGGAGGCAGTGGTGCTATGCAAGCGGAGTTCAAACTTCGGTGTCCTATGGACTTGAGTTCAAGTCCTAACACTTGAACCTTGGACAAGTTGATTAACAAGAAAAGAGAAAGAAAGAAAGAAAGAAAGAGAGAGACAGAGAAAGAATGGAAGAAAGAAAGAGAGACAGAGAGAAGAGGACTCAGTAGGGGCAGTAATGTCTAACTTCCAGGAGTGACTCAAGGTTAATAATTGAACATGTTACAAAACAGATATAGGACCCTCAAAACCCCACAAAGTAAATTCTATACATTGTTGTTGTTATTTGTGATTTAAAAAAAAAAAAAGCTAAGACCTAGAGAACCGAAACAGCTTCACTATTCACTCATCAAATTTTTTTAATGTCTTCCACAATTAGAGACCCTAAGGAAATAGCAGGAAATGAGCAGACATAGTCTGGCCAGAGTAGATGGGAAATGAACAATCCAGGAGATCTGCACGTGCTTCCTGTGTGGATCAATCAGATATACCAAGAACTTCGGGAGCAGCAAGGGAGACCAGCTCTAGTCTGGAACATCAGGAAGCCAGTCTCAGATGAGTAATAACAAATCTGAGACCTGATGATCATAAGGAGTCAGTCAGAGGAAAGTCAAAAGGAAGGGGAGCAGGCGAAAGGGCCCCGTAGGACCCTGGCTGCTGCACAGGCGGCGATGGAATAAAGGAATTGAATGAGGAGCCCCAGACACAGCCTGCACCTGTGTGCAGTTGAGCCTGATGGAGGTTCTCTCCATCCTCCATCCAGCTGCAGGGAAGACCATGCACATCACAGTTCAGACACGGCAGCCAGTCCCCGCTCAGGGCAACCATCGCACCAACTCTGCATCTCCTCTCACAGCAGTGAAGAAGCAGTTTAGAAGGTTTGTCTCTGATGACTGACTGGTCCCACTTCATTCACTCATTCAGTCAACATTTGCCAACATTGATCACACTTTTCCAGAATGATGGAAGACACCACCATTACAAAAGAGAAAGACTCTTGCCACATAGAGCTTGCATTCTAGAGGAAGGAATGCAGGTAATAAGCAAACTAAATACATAATATACTGCCTTTTAGAAAGCCCTGGGTGCCATGATGAGAAACAAGCAGAGCGGAGGATTTGTTTTCACTCTAGAGGGGGCGGTTAGAGCAGGCTGCACTGAGGACACTTGTTGAAGTTGTGGAAATTGAAGAAACAGAAGACAAGGCCGGAGAGGTGACAGGGAGCAGCCCGGCAGGTTGCAAGACCCTGAGAGGCCCCTGTGAGGTGTGGGATTCTGTAAACAGCTCCAGTGCTTCAGGTCTCTCAGCCCCTGGCAACCCCATCGGTGTGGCGATGCCGCCCTGCCCCTACCTCCTGCTGGCGGCTGTGACACTCTCAGGAACAGCCGCCGCATGCCTTGGCATTGAACTTGGCAGCTAGACTTGGGCCAGCAGGGCGGCCCTCACACAGGCGGGCCGTGCACCCTGGGCTCTCTCTCTGCCCCGTCCCACACCTCACGAGGCTCCTTTCTCCTGCTCACCTTTCTCATTGCTGGGCACAAAGAACGGAAGGCTGTGGCTGGACTGCTGATGATTTTTGTTCCAGCTGGTGCTATTACTACTAATTGATCTCTATTGCTCACTTCCATCATTTGAGAATCCATTTCAGCCCCTGATTGCTCTCTGTGCCTCTGAAAAGTTAGAAAAAAAAAATCACTAAGCCTCTATCTGAACAATAATTATCTAAGCATTACAAACTGCACCCCTCTACCACAGCTATTCTCCATCTCCTCTCTCCTACTTGGAAGAAAATATGAATCAGTAGAATTCAACCATTTATTCTCCACTCAACAGGCTGCACACCAAAGAGTTTGTCAAGGTCTTTTAATAACCACTTTCCTCCCTCCCATTCTGCTCAGCAAGTTGCTGTGTCTTTCTCTTGCCCATTGATTTTTGTACCTTGTTAGGGGTGTGCTATGCTCCTAAGGAAATAACAAATCAGCCAAGTCCCTGAGTGCCGCTCAGCCAGCGGGGCTCACCCAGCCCAGGCTCTGCTCTTTCCACTTCATTCCTGGCAATGCAGCAACTGCAAGGATGCAGGCTGGGCTGGAGGTCAGCCTGGGATTCCTGGGCTTATTTGGCATTGTGAAGGAAGCGTTGGGAACTGCCCTGGGCTTGACCTTGGAGTCCGAGGTCTGAGTGTTGACCTCTAAGGAGAAAAGGGGAGGCCAGTGTTGTAGTCAGGGGTTGTACACAGAGAACAATTCAGATCAGGACATAGAGTTTATAATATTTTTATAATGGTCACCGGAAGTTAACACAGGAGAATGCAGGAAATCTATCCGCAACACCAACGACATAGATTATTTAGTCAAGAGCCTAAACCCCACGGCAATGTCCCACATGAGTCCAGATAAAAACCCAGAGCTCAGAACAACGCCTCCACGAGTCCAACTGGAAGTCCAGAGCCCACAAGAAGGACTCACGCCAGTCTCTTTTACGGATCCGTGCTGGGAAGACCCAAGGGTCAGTGGGGGAAGCCAGAAAGTCTATGCCATCAGGATGAAGGAGCTGTGCTAGTGGGATGAGGGTTCTACACTGGAGCCGAGAAGTCACACTCACAACAAAGAGCAGGGCTGTCCTGAAAGGAACCACAGCTGTCCTCAGCGACACGGAGGCCCTGAGCTCCTCCTCCGACAAGCACAGTCGGGTACGTGCCAGGAAGCAGTGTGAGGAGTTCACCCTGGAGACCAGGCAGCACATGTCTTCCCCTCCAGAGCCAGGAAGCAATGTTCAATGTAAAGACCAAAGCTTCTCCAGGAGAACCAACAGCTCAGACAGCAACTTGTAGGAGAACCAACAATGCCTCCATAACGCCTCAATCCCTCTCCACACCTCTCTTCTTCTCCACCTATTTATCCTGGCAACCCTCCTCAGGTGGAGCATCTTCTCTCAATGCATGCTGATGTAATCCAGCTGGTTTTAAGTTGACCACTAGTTATCAAACCATAAGTGGCAAAGCATGTTTTGGAACTGGTAGGTCCTGAGTTTGAATCCAACCCTAACCACTAATTGGCCTTGGGCAAGTGCCAGAGTGTTTGGGGGGTTTTGGAGAGGGAAACTGTGAGTGGTGTCATGTGGTCATCAGAACCACGAGCATTCGGCTACAGATCACACTGAGTCTCTGAAGTGGGCAGGGGTGACAAAGGAGATTGAAACAGGCTGACTCTGGGGGTGGGCTTGCAGCCTGACAAGACAGCATATTCCTGAATAGGAAAATCAGGAAGCCGTATCTGTGTACACACCAGGTCACTGAATATCCACTCTCAGGCTAGCATCAGTGTCTAAGAAGGGTGCCGTTCGGTCCAAGGAAGAACTATGATCAGGATCCTGTACTACAGGGAAAACAAGAAACAGAACACAGGCAGCTAAAAGCATAAAGCAAGGCCTAGACTCCTGGGCCCAAATCCTGATTCTTCCCCTTACTAGATGGTAAATTTCTTAACTTTTGTACCCCGATTGCCTCATCTGAAAAGTGGGGCAAACTGCCAGAGGTGGTGGTGTGCACCTATATACTCAGCACTCTGGGAGGCTGAGCTAGGAGGACCGAGAGTTTAAGTCTGGGCTGAGAAACTTAGCAAGACTCTTATCTCAAAATAAAAGGGTAAGGATGTAGCTCAGTGTGAAAATACTGGGGTCAAGCCCCAGTAAGCCCTTGCAAAAAAAGAGAATAAAAGGATAAATCACTATGCCACAAGTGAGTTAATTATATGTAATGGTCTCAGAAAAGCCCCTGGCATTTAGGAAGTGCTCATACAGTGAACTTTAATAATAAAACAAACAAATATGAGGACTATCCTATCACAGAAAATTTAATTTCCTTCCTACTCACTTAAGGCACAATAAAAGTTCATCGTGGCTTTACAGACCCAGGCATTGTCTTCAGTGCTCCCCTCTCCCCCACCGCCACCCCAGCCAGCCTGCTGGTCTTCTTGCCAACAGAGAAGCGGTGTCCCAGCCATGCCGTCACTGTTCCCTGCCCAAGATCGTTGCGTCAATTCACTTCCCAACTGCTCTCTGGTCTCCCTATCCCTGCGCTTCCCTTCTCTGATCCATGCATCACCCCACCAGTAGAGTGATCGTTATAGCTCACAAAGTTGATCAGACTGTCTATTTTAAGCCCTTCCACTGAAGTCCGCAGTGTCTACCACAGTCATTAAAACTGCTTGGCACACAAACTCCTACACGGTTCCCTGCAGGTTCCTGCAGCATATTCATTGTCCTCTCTGCCCACAGTCTTTATACTCCAATAAGTATAAGGTGCCTATTACCACCCACACCACACAGATGTGCATTCACACACACACACACACACACACACACACACACACACACACATCCACCACTCATACACACACACACACACACACACACATCCACCACTCATACACACACACACGTGCACACGTCATGCTTCACTTGTTCTGTTCTCTCTGTATAAAATATCCTCCCGGCCTCTCTCACCCCTCATCTCAGCACCAGCATCCTGACAGATCGCTTCGCCAGCTGCTCATCTCAGCCAGCCCTTAAGCCCCAAGTGTCACTTCTTCCTAGAATCTTTCCCTGAAGCCACGACTGGGATTAGACAACTGTCTCCAATAGGATAATCCTAGATGACAAATAAAGCCCTCAATTCCAGTGGCTTCACCCAAGAGAATTTTGTTTCTCATCCCAAAATGGTCTAGTACAAGTGTTCTTGGTCAACAAGCAGCTTCACCTCATGTAGAAATTTAGGGAAGCATCTTTTGGCTCCATTATCATTAGAGTCTCTGAGCCTTCTGCAACTGGATGATGGAAAAAGGAAGAGAGACAGCAAGAGGTACCCCTGTGTCTTAAAATCCCTGGCCAGATGTGCCATACCCCACTCCCACTCCCATTCCACTAGTGAGGACTTGTCACGGGGTCGCTACTGGGTGCAAAGAGGACTGGGAAATGTAGTCCCTGAGCCTGCAGTTTCATCCTGTTAAAAAGGGATCATGCCACTTGTTACACCACTGGCCTCTGCAGCCACAGAGGGGCATCCACCCGAGTTATTACAAAGTGTGGCTATGCTTCCATGCCCAGCTCTTTTTTCATTTATCTCTTTGTTTCAGTTTTTGTTTTGGTTTTGGGCTTTGGGTTTTTTTGAGTCAGGGTTTCGCTATGGAGTGTAGGCTGGCCTTGAACTCACCGTGATCTTTCTGCCTCAGTTTCCCAAGTGCTAGGACTTCAGGCATGCACCACCATACACAGCCCATTCCCAATCCTACCAGACTGTGAGCTCCTTCAGGCTCAGGGCCTCAGTCCTTTCATAGCTATGTACCAGCACCTGGCAGCACTGATGAGGACCATTGGATGAACAAATGACCTGAGTCAGGACCAGCTCAGCAACTGGGTGGCTGATTCAGCTGGCAGAAAGTCCTCCCTGTAAACAGCTGAGCCAGACTGGAGAAGACAGAGATGCCCTGCAGATCACCTAGGGCATCTACTCAGAAAAAAGGAAAAGGAGAATGACTTGGCCCGTGTGAGCTTGGCATCTTCGTCCTCATGGTACTTCCAAGGCCAGAAATTGCCCAGCCTCTGAGATCTCTGAAACACTATTCTTCATAACCAGCACATGTAGTCCATCCCATGCACCAACAAATATTCACAATTACCCCATTTTACAGATGAGAAAACTGAGACTCAGAAAGGTTAAGTGATATGATCCTGTCTTGATAAGGGGCTTATACTCCATCTCTAGAGCCCCCAGAAGCCCTAAGACAAGGATGAGCTCAGCTTATTTTCCATCATTTTTCCAGTGAAAATTAAATTTGGGGGCAAAAGAGATGTTTGACCTGCCAGGGCCCAAAGCAGACATCTTGGAATTTTTAGCCGCTGTCTGTACCTCAAGACCAGCAACTCGAGAACCTGCTACCAAGATTATTCCTCATTTTTAATTCTAAGCATTGCTCAAGCTAAGGATTACCGAACCTTCCACTGTTGTCTACACATCATGATGTCTTTTGGTCAAATTACAAAACAGTCGAGGTTGAAGCCAAATAACAAAGCACAAGACTGCAAGCCTGTCTAACGTGACACTTGTGCAAAATTAGCAATGATAATATTTTGACAGGAAGCTGATTGCTCTGCATTCAACGCCAGAGCCCAGCACCCAGAGGCCAGTGATGTGGAAATGCAGCTCAGCCATGCTTCACGGCCCCCTGCACTGGGAGTTTCCATAATCTTAACTGGATAATGACCCCAGCCCCTCCTGGGAAATCACTGCGTCAGAGATGCTCTCACACTGATGACAAGAGAAACAGCTGTAATTTGTCAATATAGAAATATCCAATTACCAGGCCCCGAGTGATGCCTGCAGCCTCCCGTCCTGACTGCTGTCAGTCTGGGCCCCAGCTATCAGGCCAAGACCTGCCAGGCAGCAGCCAGCCTCCCCTCTCCCCTCAGCCCCTGGAAGGTCCTGCAATCCCCGCTCTGGGAGGAGCAAGGCCTCCTCCTGAGGCCACCTTTTGACCCAGCTGCAGGAAGAACAGATTATGAGCCATTAACACCTGTCAGAACTGCTATCTCCATGGAGAGGCTCCAGCCAATATCCTGGCAGAAGTCAATCTTTCTCCTCACTTTTCCCCTCAAAGGGATGGAGTGACCTGCTGCCTTAGCTGCTTTTCTCATTGTTGAGACAAAATATCTGACACCTAAAGTTAAAGGAGAAAAGGTTTATTTTGGCTCACAGTTTGTAGAGGTTTCAGCTTATAGTTAGCTGGTTCTGAGACAGAGGAAATTGAAGAAGAGAAACTCTTCATGGTGGGTGAAAGGCAAGAAGGCAGGCAGCACAGCAGTGAAGTATCAAGAAAGCAACCCTCCCTCTACCCCATATGGTTTGTTCAGCCTGCACACCCACAGGCAGGTAGCATGCACGCCCAGGATGGGCCTTCCTGCCATCTACACCCAGCACTATGCCAGACCAATCAGTGACTAATTTAGTAAGCATACTTCCTTCATCCCAGCTGATATCACACACTCTAGATCCAGCCACCTCTGAAAAGCCACACTATGACTGCATGAGGCTTTGGGGGCCACCTAGACACAAGCCATGACATCTACAACAAGTTAAAGTTCTCAGACCCCAAAACCAGGCAGTTCAGGCTTCCATTCTTGTCTCTGGGCCGTCCTAGCTGTATGACCTGTGAGCCACACTTGGTACAGAATCCTCCACGGGTAAGATGCCCCGGGGGAAAACAAATAAGAGACAGCAAAACCTTTTACATGTGCTGTCTGGGTATGGACTCATTTCATCTTCACAGCAGCCTGCAAAACGTGTGTTGTTATATCCTCTTTGTTTTACAAATGAAGAAGCTAAGGCCAAGAAGTTTAAGGGGCTTCCCACGGACGCTGGGCTGTGAGTGGAAGTCTGATTCAGGGCTGCACCCTAACATTTCATGTTCCTTCTAACTAGTGTTGTTGCTGTCTATGCCCTGGGCACCGTGTGAAGTTCTTTGTACGTATCATAGCATTTAATCCTCACAGTACATTATCCCCATTCTGTGTTGAGGCACAGAATGGCTAAGTAACCTGCCTAACTTCATACAGCTATTAAGTAACAAAGCCAGGCTTACACCCAGAAATTCTGGGTTTTTATGTATACTCGGTGGCATGCTAAGCCAGTATCTATACATACTAAGCCTTGGTTCCTTGTATTACATGCACCTTTGATCTTAATAAACTTTATAAGATCGGTCAAATCTTTGCTATGCACTCTGACTAAACAGTAAACTTTGAAATGGAAATATTCCCTGGCTGTGGCATGGGAACTGAAGAGAATATAGGCCTTTTCATGATTTGACAAGAGTGTTATGGCAAAGAAATAAATAGTTATAATCATACTGCCATACCTTTGTACCACCTTAGAGCTTATTCATTCATTTATTCAA